TCTCTGTTGTTTAGAATAGGCATGAGGGGAATTCCCAAGTTATACCTTTACAATATTTTCATGTTCTTTATTTTAGTTAAATAAAAGATATAAAGTGATGAATTAATACACTAGACACATGGTTTTATTTGAACACTTTATTATGACATCGTAAAGTGATGAATAAGAACACTAAACACATGGCTTTATTCGTAGGCCTAGAGGCTAAGTCTAGCCTAGGTATCATCGTTCGTTCGTACATACGTTTATTGAGCGTTACGTACGTATTAGGTCAAAGGTTACCACAAATTTAACCCAACCTCTATTTTACGAATCCCCCGATTTACGTACGCCCTCTGGTCCCGTACCGTACGTAAAATCGAGGTTCTACTGTATACCTTGTTGTGGTGTAATTGTGTGCACAAAGACTAATTCATTAATAATGCCACAACATCCTTCCAGGTACCCATTATGATATTGGGTGGGGAGGGCCAAATTTAAGTGAACCTTGTCCAAGGACACAAGTGATACAGTATGCATAGTGAACTTTCAAACACTTGACCTTATGACAGCCCACCAACAACATATCTTTATCATCATTAACAATAAGGCCATGTTAAAAAAAAAAATGGTTAGCATCCTTATCCAGCAAACAAAAAAAAAGAAGAAAAAGAAAATAGCAACAGAGACCAAAACTGCATACAAGAAATTATATAATTCATCAATAGCAAGCAGAAACTTTACGATGAATAACCAGGGAGATGTTATTCTTTTACATCTCCCTAAAATAACAGTCATAATGCAATTATCTCAGACTATATAATCACACACAATTCACTCCAACACAACTGGCATCATTAATGCCATGTGGCTACAGCATAGAACTGCAAGTGGTCTGGCTAGCGTGCGGACGGGTGGTAAACAAACCTATATCAAATTGAGTTTGTGAGTGTTTTGTCAAAAAAACAAAAAAAAATCTGGTCGGTGGCCTCTCTGATGCTAGGGAGGGGATGCTAACCAATTATTTTATTTTACATGGCCTAATAAACAATAGATATAATTTTGTTATTATATTAATGAGATTGGAGGTTGCATGCATCCAAGTGACAAGTTTGGATGATAAGTGCTTACTGTAAAGTGCTGTGATGGAAGCATTATAAGAATCACTTTGTTTGATTGCCACCTGAATCACTTGCAAGATTTTCTCACAAACATTTGCGAACTTAGGCTTTCTGAGCATTCTGAGTTGACCAACAACTAAGGCAAACATTGATTCGTATTACTTCTCCCGACGCAAAACGCCATTCGAATAGCATACAGCAGTGTACCCACTGTTACTTGGTGATCGGATTTATCACTAGCAACCAAGCGCAAGTTCGGTGGTCGAGTGGTAAGAGTAGACAGCAGACTAGTTACCTGAAGATCACATTGGATTAAATTTTTTCGCAAGGATTTGGGAACGTACTAGGCTTTCAGCACTATAACGTACGTGAGGTAGGGCAAACATCGATTCGTAACTACTTCAACACTTGCATGCTTGGGAGGATTTATGGCAGCCCATCATAGATCCATCAGTGTTGTGATTATGTAGTGTTGACAATTTACAGAATACAGAACTTTTATTGGTCTTGTGAACGTAAAAGTACAGAACAAGAAATTAGCACGTTTCTCAGCATTTGCGATGATTTCCCCCATGACATCAATAATTTGCTAAAATACAAAAATTATAAAACTTATTTATTTTATTAATTTATTTCTAATAAAAGTATGTCATATCTGAATTTTATCCATGGTAGGCCTAGCTAGTATCCATATTTTTCACACAACACAAAAGACAACCAACAACAACCTATGAGTATGTTCCTTTGTAGTTTGCCTTTATACATCATGAATGTTTTGCTAGTATTTAGAGTGCGCCCTCAGGAGTGACTGCTCTGTAATGAAAACATAGAAAGGGATTTGTAGACGCAAGTGCATCACATGGAAATTCCCTACTTCTGGCAAACATCTCCTCAGATTCTGGAATAAAAAAAATTACATTTACTAATACTATCTATGGATTATGACCGGTTGAGCCGTCGACAAGTTGAGCCGCCGGTCATTTCTATGGAACGCCAAGCGCGTCTCTCAGTGAATGTAGTGCATTAATTGCGGCGTATTTCAATTAACTTATTCGTTCTTGGTACTGTTGTTTGGGATGTATTTCAGGTTATTTACTCAATCATTTCAATTTATTTAATACTCGGTTTTTGCACTAATTTATTAAATATTTTTGGGACATATTTAAATATATTTACTTGTTCTTTCTATCGTTTTAATTTAAATTTTTTGAGTATTTGCTCAGTCAGCTTGCCAGATAGTAAAAAAAAAACTCCATACATTCTTATAATTTATTATATACAGTTCAACAAATAGTACAAAAATAAAAATATATAAATTGCAAAACCATAGTAAATACTGTATAACATAGGCCTAACACATTTAAATTTATTGTTTATATAGTCATCTGTCTAATTGAGTCAGCTTGCCAGATAGTTAAAAAAAAAAAAAACTCCATACATTCTTATCATTTATTATATATAAGTTTAACAAATAGTACAAAAATAAGAATATAAGAATAAGAATATGTAGCTGGTATCAGGGGGGGTTCATTCACTGATGACATCGGCAATCCGACTGATCAAATACTCAGCAAATTAACCATGGAAGATAAAACAAAAATAATTAATAATAATAATTAAACAGTAATAAGTAAAATTGTAAAACCAATTTGATTTTAAATAGACAGATGACTATAAACAATAAATTTAAATGTGTTAGGCCTATGATATTATACAGTATTTACTATGGTTTTGTAATTTAATTTAACAAAATGGTACAAATAACGAAAAGGTAATTGAAATACGCCGCAAACCAAACGTAAATACACACATTTTTAATACGATTTTTATAAAAATGTAATACATAAAATTAAAATTCTAATTTTTAATTACACAACTTATACATCACGAACGGCAATACGAGCAAATCAACGACTGACAAGACTGTGTGATGAATATGTAGCTGGTATCCGGGGCAAGCCGACTACATTCACTGAGAGACGCACTACATTCACTGAGAGACGCGCTTGGCGTTCCATAGAAATTACCGGCGGCTCAACCGGTCATATACCCTATCTATCTATACTACTAGGCTAGGGCTAGGGCCAGGCTAGCGGCTAGCTAGCTGATTGCTCGAAATATTGCCCCGCTGGTTTTTAATGTGCCTAGCTAGTTTCCCAACCTAATATAGACCTAGATGGACATGTCTTAGCTAACTAGACCTAAGCTGGAACCTAGGCCTACTGTAGGCCTAAGCCCTACCAAGCCTTTGAAGTAGGGGAGGGCCAAGACCGGCGACCCTGCTGCTACTGGTAACTGGGCCTTCTTCTTGCTTGGTTGGCTTGTCTGAAAGTTTAAAATGGTTTTATTTTTAAACTTACAAGGTCATTTTTGGTTGAATTACGATTGCTGTCGCTCCTAAGGCTAATGCCGCTTCCGCTACTTGTCATCATGAATGTAACATTTAATACGGTTTTTTTTCACAGATGCATAAGGTTACCCCGACTAAGCACACAGTCGCTAAGCCTAGCCAAAGTAGCGCATGTAGATAAACAAACAAAATGCACAGGGCGCTGACATTTTGTTGGAATCTGCCATTTTAATGAAGGTTACTTTTTCATTTAAATTATTAGTTATACTCTTTAATCAATATTTTTTACCATATTCTTTTAATTTTGCATAATAACTATTATAACTTTAATTTCTTATTTTATATTTTCTAGCTGAAATATAAAATAAATATAAATATAAATAGATATTACATTTTCTTCACAGTTGAATTCCCTATTTGGTTATGGCTCTTATGTCAGAGTTCAATTGATTGTTTACGTTCAAGGAGGAGAGCATGGTAAATTTGATGCTGCTTTTATTTAAAGGCCGATGCTATGCTTACGCCGATGTATTCTAAATCCCAACGTGCTGATTGGTCGGCTTGTCTTTACCCTAACCTTAAAACATAACTCGGGCTATCTTAAAGCACTACACATCGGCGTAAGCATAGACACTGTGTTATTTAAAATGTTGATGTTGCATTGCAGAACAAACAACATTTTATTTTAGTTTATCATATTATTATAAATAGGCTGGCCTAGCTAGGACTCGAATCGAACGAGGAGAAAGCCTACTGTAGGCCCGTACGTAGGCCCAGCCAGCCAGGACCAGACTGTTATACCGACCATCGGGCCCATTTTCAGACGATCAGGCGCAACTAGTGTGGGCCCTCTTAGGGTCAAGCGGGTCCACCTAGGCTAATGTGGATTTTCGGCCCCCAATATTATTCTGAATAATTATTGCATTCTAAATTTATTAACTTGTAGGCCTAGGCCCTAGTCTAGGTATTTTAATAAATATGTTAAATATGTATTCTTAATTTAATAAAAGAATTGTAATTATAAGTAAATTAAAATGATTATATTATTGAATTTATTTATTTATTTCGGTATCAAATGCCAACAAATACAAACGACAGCAATGGCATGGACTTTGCCTGATAGAGGATTGTGCCCATTTCCAGACATATTGGACCTTATATTTCTGAAAATGAGCCCCTTTGTCTTGACAGATGTGTGTTGGCTTGCTGTGGGCCTATTTTTATATGTTTTAAGCTCTGAATGCCCGACGAGCTCTGTCCGGCAGGGGCTTGACCTGTCTGGTGGGGGGACTAAGCCACTGCATAGGAGTGATGTTTTGCCCTACATGATTCCTACCTGAATCACTTGAAAAATTTTTCACAAGTATTTGGGGACATACTAAGTATGCAGTACGATAACATATCAGGTAGGGCAAAATATCACTCGTATGATATTTTCCTGATGCAAACTCACATCAATATATGGCTATGCCTATCATGACCAGACTGTCATACCCTTGTTGGGGGACTAGTTTGTCTACATGCCTTCCCTTAGCTTAGAAATGTTTAATTAATATACCGCTTACAAAGTTGCCTAATCTACTTTGATTATCTTTAGACTTGGAAAGTTTTTTTTTTTATATAATAAGGCAGTGTTATTTTATGTGTGAATTGGATTTTGGCAATAACATCCTATCAGAATAAAGAATTGGTTTATTAAAGACTGGTGTAACCGTCCAATAAATAAATAAATGAAATAGAAACGGTAGATTAGTCTGCGGCAAGACATCCATGGTTAGTCTGCAGAGACTGCAAACCTGATAACTCTGAGAGTACAATATTGAATACCATTAGACCTGCCAAAGCTATTGTTTGGCTTATACTGTATAAGCATTTCAAAATAACCCATTTCTTTTTCTCCACTGTCAACAGAAATGGCGGGAAAGGTTAAACCTATCGACAGACAATCTGTGCATCAGATATGTTCTGGTCAAGTTGTCCTCAATCTAGCTACAGCGGTCAAGGAACTTGTAGAAAATAGCTTGGATGCTGGAGCCACCAGTATCGGTAGGTCAAATAAGAAAAGCTTTGCTTTCAATTATCCAATTCTTTCTGTATGAAATGAAATATGAGGAACTTTATTGCAATCTCTCATTATAAAACATTATAAATCAAAATTGAAGTTTAAAAAAAAGTAGGGAAAAACATTTAAAAAACATCACATACAATATGCTTAAAAATATAAAAAGAAGAGAGAATTAAAATCAATTATAAAAAAAAAAATATATATATTCATCCATTTTAATTTTTTGAATACCCCAATTGATATGTTTGAATTTTAAAATTTGTTTTTGTTTGTTGTTCATTGTGGTTTTGATGTTGCATTGACTCCAGCTATGCAATCTGATCATTTTCCATTTTTATATAGTAATTATTTTAATAACTTCCACATATATAATTGTACTCCCATGGAATTCAGCCATTATATTTGCTTTGGATTTTGTATTTAAGAATAATACCAGTGGTGGATTCAAGGACACAGGGGAGTGGGGGGAAGGAGCCCCCTAAATTTTCCCAAATTATGACAAAAAAGGCCCAAAAAGGAAAATTATATTTGCATTTAAGTCAGAGAATGCCATTTCCAGCCATCTAGATGTGCCATAATCATAAATTTTCAAATCTCAGCCCCAACCATGGTAGGCCTCAAGTGGCAGACCCTGCATGTGTAAGAGCCCCTCCCTGGGTCCCTCTACTTCAAATTCCTTGATCCACCACTTGACACCCAGTCAATTTGATGTGTTGATTTATTTAATCTGAGAGAGAGCAAGACAAATTAGTGACACCTATTATAGCAAATTAGCATCTTTAATTTTGTTGATTTTTTGTTGATCAGAAATACGACTGAAGAATCATGGATCAGAATTACTTGAAGTGATTGACAATGGGTCAGGGGTCAAGAAAGAAAACTTTGAAGCTTTAAGTAAGTGCCTTAAGTAAATTCTTATTTTTAAAGACATTATATATATCGCTTTATTTGAAAAAAAATGTAAAGTCTCAATAATACATGCTGTCTGTGTTAACTTGAATAATTAAATTCAATATTAAGTTAAATTTGAATAAGATACCTTGATACTGTCTCTTATACACATCTAGATGTGTATAAGAGACAGAAGTATGCAGTACGATAACATATCA